CTACTGCCAGCATTCCCCACACCCTCATTACCTTTTTGCTGACTTCACAGTACTAGTCATCTCTGGCCTGGATTGCTCCATTAGCTTGGGCCTCTGGTAGTTATTGTTCCAGCTGCATTCACCACCTCCCAGGGAAATGCAGTTGAGTTACTTGTCTTTAGCTGTCAGCTCCTGATAGGCAATGTCCTGCTTAAAAGCCTCTCAATTTCTTGACTGGTTCATGGTTTGTTGAGCCTTTCCCAAAGGAAACAGTATGGGAGTCTTGCTGGGTCTCCAGCCAACAGGCAAAACCCCCATCACTTCCACAAGCTACCATCCATTCTGTCTGATTTACTAACAAATGTCCTAGTGAAAATGTTCCATATGCCAGTTGTGATAGCCTGTTTGCTTTGGGAAAAGATTGTATTTCCTTTTTACCTAATATCGTCTCTAAGCCCAAGAAATCTCCATTTGACTGCAGGCTATGGGGATGAAAATTTAAATAATGAATAAATAAAGTTAATTGGTGTCAGATTCCAGCCTGTATCATGGCATTTTCAGAACAGTGCATGTGTGTGAGGGAAAGAAGCCAATCTCTCAAAAAAAAATGTCCTGTTTTCTATACAGCAGTAACAAGAAAAAACAACTTCAAATGCTCTTAATGAAACAGTCTCAGTGGGTTGAGTATTTGCATCACAGAATGAGACTGTGAACTGAGTGTTTTGGTAAAAGCTAACTACCAGTGAGCAACTATTGCTAAAAACTTTGCTGTGAGCCTTGCATTCCAATAACACTGGCATTAAGGCTCCAGATGGTGCTTTTAATTAAAATCAATTTTTAATTAACATCTGTACCCGAGTGAAGGAGATTGTTTCTCGAAACATTTAATTGCATGAATTAAATTCATACATCTGAATTGGTTGGTCTGGAGTAATAGATTTAAAATAGCTCACTGAATAAAGTTCTTCCATCTGCATCTTCAGTATTAACAAATTTACTTAAGAGTCATAGAGCTGCATAGCACGTAAACAGACTCTTCAGTCCAACTCATTCATACCAACCAGATATCTTAAATTAATCTCGCCCCATTTGCCAGCATTTGGCCCATATACCCCCAAACCCTTCCTTATCATGCACTCATCCAGATGCCTTTTAAATGTTGTAATTATACCAGCCTCCACCACTTCCTCTGGCAGCTCATTGCATACACGTACCACCCTCTGGGTGAAAATGTTAAACCTTAGATCCCTTTTAAATCTTTCCTCTCTCACCTTAAACCTATGCCCTCCAGTCTTGGACTCCTTTACGCCTACAAAAAAAAACCTTGGCTATTCACCCTATCCATGCGCCTCATGATTTTATAAACTTCTAAAGGGCACCCCTCAGCCTCAACACTCCAGGCAAAATAGCCCCAGCCTATTCAGCCTCTTGCGAAAGCTCAAACTCTCCAACCCTGGCAACATCCTTGTAAATCTTTTCTGAACCCTTTCAAATTTCACAACTTCCTTCCTGTAGCAGGGAGACCAGAATTGAACTTATTGCCCATTGCCTGGATTTTGATCAATGTTTACTAATTCAAAAGTTGTCAGAACAAAATAAAAACAGACAACATGTCAAAAAATTTAAAAAGCATCCAAATGATTGCTAAAATAAACTATTATAGTGAGGTGTCCATGATGTACTCAATTTCCTGGACATGAATGTGCACAATGTGCATGCTTTATCTGTCATGTTGCCACTGATGTTCCGCATAATGATATTCATTGTTGTAATGGTCATCATATTCTTTTGGACAGACTTACAATAAAGGTCCAGTGTGACCGATTTTATGTATTTCTTATTTTATAAGGTAACCTTTTAGGAGGACTTCTTTATATGTATTAAAAAGATTACTTATTGTACTTTAATTTCTACTGTGTGGTTTACATATCATGTTTTTGGATGGTTGAAACCTATGTGATGGATTCCCATTGTAAAATGGTTTGCCATTTGATAGATTTCGAAGAAGGTAACACCCCTCCATGACTTTACATTATCACAGTTCAAATATGGCTGGGTCTCTGGAATCTGTCTTTTCTCTGTCTATGAGGTGGGCCTCAGTGTGGTTGTGGTTTGGAGGTGGAGGTGGTAGTTAATAACTGAAGTTGTCTGCAGACCAGCCAACTGTATTCAGTTATTTGAAAATCAGTAAGGAGGATTACTTTTCCAGAATGCACTGTTGTAAGCTGGTTGTGGTTAAGCTCTTTGTCACAGCACTCGCGTTAGCATAATGCGAGATCTTTGGTTAACAACAGAATGAACTCACAGCATCCTCATCTAAAAGATACTTGCTGCATTGTCCTGGTTCAATTCCAAACTAAGCATGGCTTTAGCTGAATAAAGACTTAAAGAGGCTGTCAGCTATTATGTCACAAGCCACATCATGTGCCTCACACAATACAACAAAATCCACTCATTGGACTATCTCAGTGATTTTCCCTATGCATGGGGCTTGATATATCTGGAATGCTACACGGGCAGGATCAAAATGTGGCTTTTGCAGTTATACCTACTCCGGTGGGGCTTGATGTCCCATGCATTAAGGGTTGAGAAAAAGTGGCTTATACTGAAAAAAAAACAGGGACCCTATTTATTCACGCTGCTTCTCTCCATCCTATTTCACCATACCAGTTCTTTGGTTCCAGCCTTAGGAGAGACCTCCATCAGTTCTGTACATATCTGATGCACAGCATGCTCTGTACTAGCCACACAGAACTCCACAATCTGTAACAAAAGGAGCTGGACCCCAAAAGAACAGACCTGGCATCAGACTAGCAAGGGTATGATTCTGTTCATGCTCTTGTGCAGCACCTTTTAAAAAAATATTTATCGGATGTGGATATTGTTAGCTCAACCAGCATTTATTATCCATTCCTAATACTGCTTGAACTGTTTTGGCTATTTCAGAGGGCAGTTGAGAGTCAACCATATTGCTGTGAGTCTGGAATCATATGCAGGTCAGGCCTGGTAAAGATGTCCCTATAGGGCTTTAGTGAATAATCAACAACAGTTACATGGTGTCATTTTGACTAACTTTTTATTGCAGAAGGTCGGTGATTCAGTTTTCATCATCTGAACTCTTAGTTGAAGGGTCAAAAATTAAGGGGCATAATTTTAAGGTGAAAGGCAGGAGGTTTAGAAAAGATGTAAAGAGAATGTAAGGAAAATGTTTTGCAGCTAGAGGGTGATGGAGATCTGGAATGCACTTCTGGGGGTGCGGGGGAGCGCGGTGTGTGTTAGTAAAGGTGGGCAATCTCAACTTTTAAAAAAGTACGTGGGTCAGCTTGAAATATCATAGAATTCAAGGACACGGACCGAATGTTGGAATGCGGGATTAGTATAGATGGGTTGACACAGATTCGATGTGCTGAAGGGGCCTCTTCTGTGCTGTATGACTATGGTGGAATTCGAATTGATGTCCCTGGAGCACTACTCTGGTAACAATATCATGATATTACCACTTCCATTCCGAGGAGTTTTACATTAAAAGACATTGCTCAAATATAAACTGTTGTTCTACACAGTTACAACTCCTATTTTACCTACTGTATTTGACAAGGTCCCTGATGGTAGGCTGGTCCAGAAGATCAAATCACATGGAATCCATGGTGAGTTGGCAGGTTGTATACAAAATTGGTTTGGCGATAGAAGACAGAGGGTAGATGTGGAGGGATGTTTTTCTGACTGGAGGTCTGTAACCAGTGGTGTTCCACAATGATCAGTGCTGGGGCCTCGGTTTGTAATACACATATATATGATTTAGATTAAAATGTCAGTTGTCTAATTAGTAAGTTTGCAGGTGACATGAAAATTGGTAAAGTTGTGGATAGTGAGGAAGGATAGCAAAGGGATGCAGAAAGATACAGATCAACTGGAAAGTTGGGTGGAGAAATGGCAGACGAAGTTTAATCTGGACAGGTGTGAGATGATGTAGAGGCTTTGGAAAGGGTGCAGAAGAGGTTTACCAGAATGTTGCCTGGATTGGAGTGGAGTGTATTAGCTACAATGATAGGTTGGAAAAACTTGGATTGTTTTCATGAGAGCATCAGAGGCTGAGGGGCAGCCACAGAAATATAGAAAATATTTAGAATATAAATAATGAGGCAAGGATAGGTGGATAGTTGGAGTCTCGTTCCTAGAGTGGAAATGTCAATTACTAGGGGCCAAAGGTTTAAGGTGAGGGGGGAAAGTTTAAAAGGAGATGCGCGAGGCAAGTTTGATTTTTAAACCGAGGGTGGTAGATGCCTGGAACACACTGCCAGGAGTGGTTTTAGACGCAGATACAATAGTGAAAGTTTAAGGAGGCATTGAGACAGACACATGAACAGGCAAAGAATGGAGGGATTTGGACCATGTGTAGGCAGTTGGGACTAGTTTAGAATGGCATCATGGTCGACACAGATACGGTGGGCCTAAAGGCCTTTTCTTGAGCTGTACTGTTTTGTGTTCTAATATAGCATCTTGAACATAATAAAACATCCCATATTGTTACTATTAATTCTTAACAGTAATATAATTTCTGACATATCCAGCACAGTTTGATTGTTTTCCTACAAAACAAATCAGTTCTAAACTGACCAAATACAGTTGTGTGTTTGAGTGACTTAAACCCATGATCCTGGCTGAAACTGCAATGCAGTACTGACAGAGCTATATTTCAGAAGAGACATTAAACCAAGGCCTGATCTTCACATTCGAGTTGATGAGAGAGATCTTCTGGCACTGTTGAGGGGTAGTAGAGTTCTTTACAGTCTCTTAATATTTATCCCTCAACCAACATCACACAAAAGAGATGATGTGGTTGTTATCACATTGCTGTGCATGGGAGTTTGCAGTGCATAAATTACAATACAAGAGTGACCACATTTCAATAATACTTCATTGGTTGTAAAGTGTTTTGATACACACCAAAATTGTGAAGTGTACTAAATATGTACTAGTTCTTATTACTAATCAGCCAATCCTCAGTCTCCCACACTTACCCATGTAAGGTTTTGTGCCTGCGATGGAAGTAGCCTGCTTCTCCTCCTTTACCAATGCTGCAATGTTGAAGTCAGTGACGTGCACGTGTCCTAGAATGAACCAGATTAAAGTAAGTAACAGAAGATTAATGTTATTCCTAATTGTTTCTTAAAGTGAATGATATATCAGCACTCGGATCCCAGTGTTTGCAAGGTCTCTGGGACTATTTGTACCGACGTGCAGTCATCAAGCTGCTTAAGTGGTATAGAGACTTTGAAAGATGGACACACTAGATTTCTATTTGCTGGAGTTTGGAAGCGACTTAATTGAAAATTAAGACCAGGAAGGGTTGGAATGATGGATGTGGATAAGATGCTTTCTCTTGTGCAAAGAATTAGAACTAGGAACTTTTATTTTTTCTTTCCTTTTCATTTGTGGGATGTGGGCATCACTGGCTGGTCAGCATTTCTTGCCCATCCCTAGTTGCCCTTGAGGTGGTGGTGGTGAATTGCCTTCTTGAACTGCTACTGCCCTCTTGCTGTAGGTTGACCCACAACACTATTTTGGGAGGGAATTGTAGGATTTTGACCCAGCGACAGTGAAGGAACAGCAATATATTTGAGAGTCAGGATGGTGAGTGGCTTGGAGGGGAAATTGCAGGTGGTGGTGTTCCCATACGTCTGATGCCCTTGTCCTTCTCGATGGAAGTGGTCGTAGGTTTGGAATGTGCTGTCTGAGGATCTTCGGTAAATTTCTGCAGTGCATCTTGTAGATAGTACACACTGCTGCTACTGAGCATCGGTGGTGGAGGGGGTGGATGTAGTGCCAATCAAGCAGGCTGCTTTGTCCTGGAGGATGTCAAGCTTCTTGGGTGTTGTTGGGGCTGCACTCATCCAGCTAAGTGGGGAGTATTCCATCATACTCCTGACTTGCACCTTATAGATGGTGGACAGGCTATGGAGGAGTCAGGAGGTGAGTTATTCGCCGCAGTATTCTGAGCTTCTGGCCACCACTGTGTTTATGTGGTGAGTCCAGTTGAATGTCTGGTCAATGATAACCCCCAGGATGTTGATAGTGGGGGATTCAGTGATGTGAACACCATTGAATGTCAAGGGGCGGTGGTTAGATTGTCTCTTATTGCTGAAGGTCACAGCCTGGCATTTGTGTGGTAAAATGTTACTTGTTACCGGCCAGTCCAAGACTGGGTATTATCCAGATCTTGTTGCATTTGAACACTGACTGTTTCAGTATCTGAGGAGTTGCGGATTATTGCATAACGTTCAGCACCATCGGCGAACATCCCCACTTCTGCCCTTATGATGGAGGGAAGGTCATTGATGAAGCAGCTGAAGATGGTTGGGCTGAGGGCACTACCCTGAGGAACTCCTGCAGAGGGGTCCTGGAGCTGCGATGATTGCCTTCCAACAACCACGACCATCTTCCTATGTGTCAGGTATGACTCCAACTACCAGAGCGTATGCCCCCGTTACCCATTGATTCCAGTTTTGCTAGGGCTCCTTGATGCCACACTCGGTCAAATGCAGCCCTGAAATCAAGGCCTGTCACTCTCACCTCACGTCTGGAATTCAGCTCTTTTGTCCATGTTTGAACCAAGGCTGTAATGAGGTCAGGAGCTGAGTGGCCCTGGCAAAACCCAAACTGGGTGTCACTGAGCAGATTATTTCTGAGCAGGTGCTGCTTAATAGCACTGTTGAAGACACCGTCCATCACTTTACTGATGACCGAGAGCAGACTGATGGGGTAGTAACTGGCCGGGTTGGATTTGTCCTGCTTTTTGTATATAGGACATACTTGGGCAATTTTCCACATTGTCGGGTAGATACCAATGTTGTCACTGTACTGGAACAGCTTGGCTAGGGGAACGGCAAGTTCTGGAGCACAAGTCTTCAGTACTATTGCTGGAATGTTGTCAGGGCCCCATAGCCTTTGCAGTATCCAGTGTCTCCAACCATTTCTTGATATCATGTGGGGTGAATCGAATTGGCTGAAGACTGGTATCTGTAATGCTGGGGACTACTGGAGGGTGCTGAGATGTATCATCCACTCGGCACTTCTGGCTGAAGATTGCTGTGAATGTTTCAGCCTTATCTTTTGCACTGATGTGCTGGGCTCTTTCATCATTGAGGATAGGGATATTTATGGAGCCTCCTCCTCTACTGAGGTGCTTAATTGTCCAGTACCATTCACAACTGGATGTGGCAGGACTGCAGGGCTTAGTTCTGATCCGTTGGTTGTGGGATCACTTAGCTCTGTCTGTCACTTGCTGCTTTCGCTATTTGGTGTGCAAATAGTCCCGACTGGTGGTTTCACCAGGTTGACACCTCATCTTCAGGTATCTTGGTGCTGGTCCTGGCATGATCTCCTGCACTCTCCATTGAGCCAGGGTTGATCCCCTGGCTTGGTGGTAATGGTTGGAATAGGAGTAGGCAATTCAGCCCCTCGAGCCTACTCCAACATCTGATACGATCAAGGCATCTCTCAGCTAGGCCTCAACTCTACCCTCCTGCCCTCTCCCCATAACCCTTCAACCCATTATGAAGTAAAATCTGTCTACTCCTCAAATTTAATAAGTGCCCAAAAGTCCACTGCACTCTGGGGACTGAATTGCACAGATTCACAACCCTTCTTCATCTCCCCTTATCCTAAAACTATGACCTCTCATTCTAGGTTGCCCTCTAACATCTGCTTTACATCTACTTTGTCAAGCTCCTAAAGCATCTTACATATGTCAACTAGATCTCCTGTCATTCTTCTCAACTCTAGTCAGTATTGGCCTAACTGCTCAATCTCTTCTCATGAATCAAACCTTTTTATCTCAGGAATTAATCTAGTGAACCTTCTCTGACCTGCCTCTAATCTAGAATCCAGAACACAAGATCTCTTTTTAATAATAAGGGATTGCCAGATTATGATAGGTCGAAGAAGAAATTTAGAGAGTCATGAGACTTTGGAACTCTCTTCCTCAATAGGTCATGCAAGCAAAGTACTAGTTTTAAGGGGAAGGTGGACAGATTCTCAGAGACAGACAGGCATGTGAAGTGATCTTATAGAATGGTGGAGTCTGATCCTCCTGATTTACTCCTGCTTCTAATTTGAATGTTTGTAGATATTGTGTCACATCAAGTCACTTTTTCCAACAGATCATAAGTAGAATATGGAGACAGCTATTCCCCATTCCCCAGAACTGTCACTCATCACCACATGGGCAGCATTCTCGTCTCGGAGTCAATGAATCGTCAGTTCAAATCAAAATTCACAGCTGCAAGTACAGAAGACATTTCAGGCGTACCAGCCCTCTGGGAATTTTACTGTTGGCTGCTGTATTTCCTACATTCTAACAGTGAGTTTTTAAATTCACTTCTGGGACGTGGGCATCATTGCCTCGACCAGCATTTATTGCCTGTCCTTCGTTGCCCTTGAGAAGTTGGTGGTGGTTACCTTGTTGAACTGCTGCAGTCCATGTACTGTAGGTAGACACACAATGCTGTTAGCAAGGGAATTGCAGTGTGACACTACAAAAGCATTTCATTGTACATAAAGTTCTTTGGGATGCCCTGGGTTATAAAACATGCAGCAAAACTACAAGTTTTTTCTTTTGGTGCATGGTTGCTGGTGGTATAAAATTACAGTGCAGGATTGGAGGAGATGTCAATCATACTGCTCACATTTGAAAGGTGGACGAGAAAAGGATCTGGTTCAGACCTGACATTCCTGCCCCCTCCCCACCCTCCCACAGCAATTACCACTTGTTGACATTCAGGGCTTATACAAGAATAACCACCTACATGAAAAAAAAGAGTGGAGAGGACAGCTGTTGACCCAGTACCTTTGAAAAGGGATGGGCGAAAACTGGAGAAAGTCTTTGACTGTGGTGTAAATGCCTTCAGATATCTCCTCGTGACCTCTGGCATTGTTGCTACAATTATAAGCTGACCATTTATTTACACAAACTGGGTGAGAGCTGAACTACTAAGACAGTTTTTTAGCCCCAAAGAAGGGGGAAAGCAGCAAATTCAGTTGTCTGTGGCAGGTCTGAGGGATGGGAGAAAAATGGATACAAAAACCTGCCATTGACCTATCAGACAATGCCTCTTTAGTAGAAGTAATGGGACGTATTGGAGGCCTGGATCCACAAGTTGGGACTTACACCTGCCCCATCCAGCAACATTACCTATTACATCATCAACCTAGTTTGAGGTTGACAGTAGCTCCTATATCAGATCGTCTCCATTGGTCTAATGTTAGCACTTACTTGAGGGCCAATAGGTTTTCAGTTACATACCACAACCACTACAATACTAATTTCATTATCCTTGCTCTCTATTTCTGAAATCTCTTCCAGCTCCACAACTCTCCAAGATCTCTCCGCTGCCTCACATCTAGCTTTTTGAACAGCCGTGAATTATATTGCTCCACCATTTATGGCTATGCCTTCAGATTCTGAGGTCCCAAGGCTTAGAAAAATCCCCCCCTCCTTCCCACCAACACGCCACACACACACACCACCCCCCACCTTTTGGCCACCTGAAATTTTAAAAAAAATTTCGCATGCTGGCGTTACTGGCAGAGCTAACCTTAATTGCCCATTTCTAATTGCCCTGGATAACGTGGTGGTGAGCTACTGTTTTGCGGCCGTTCATGTTGTGTGGGGCCACCAACAGTATTGTTTGGAAGGTAGTTCCAGGATATTAATTCAGTAGCAGTGAAGGATCAGTGATTAGTTCCAAGACAGGATGATGTATGTTTTGGGGGAATTTGCAAGTGGTGGTGCTCGCTATGTGTCTCAAGGAGCATTTTTGCTTGATAAGGCTGCTGACCCATGCCTTTCGGCATTTCACTACATTAAAACTGGTATATAAATCCAGGTTGTTGTATAAAGCATAGAACAAATAAAACAATAATGGAGGTGTAAATGGTTGTCATCTTGAATTGCACTCAGCAGGATGCTGACAATGACGAAACAAAAAAAAAAAGAAAAATCAGCAAAATAAAAGGTTACTATCATGCTGACACTGATTCTAGCAACACTGCTAAAAACATTTTCACATTAAGATTAAATTTGTTCATCCTTCTGCACACTCACAACTTC